TGCTCACTTTATAAATAAAAAAGATGTTTCTTCTGGCACATTGCCAACTCAACTTGGGATCAGAAAGTCAAATTCTGCTCTTGCTCATTATAGGCAGTAAAAAAGGTGCTGCAACTGGAACACAGCAAAAAAATTATCTTGTTTAGGAAGCTTAGCCAGGGTTAGAAGCCTCTCCCTCCTGCAGCATAGATGGCAGATGGATAGTTTATTGAGTTGGGTTTGAACTTATCAAAATTTAAGGAATGAATGTAACCTATCAGAAGAAATGAGAAGAAAGCTCTCCTTCAGTATAACAGACTGTGCATATAAATATAGAGTGAGGTATGTGTGTGTGTATGTATTTATAATCATTACGGTAGAGTTGTGACCTGAACTACCTGTTGCAGCTACAACTCTTGCAATGGGTTAAATTAAGCAGAAGCAATACACAAATGGTGGCTTACAATACCAGTAATTAATGTCAACAGCTTTGGGTAATTTTCTGATAGCTGCACCATTAATAAGTGTGAATGTCATTGTATTGGGTCAACAATTCAGAAATAACAGTCTTAGAAAAATAGCTAAATAAAGTACTGTAATGTTCCAAACATTCTAATCTCCATGAGATGTTAATGTGTTGAAAAGCTATATTGTTTTAAATGGTAGCTAGCTTTGTCACAGCTGAGGTGATGTAATTATGTTCCCAAATGAGGAAAGCACTTATGCATATGTTTAAGTTCCAATGAGAGGTAAGCATATATTTCAAGTTCAGAATATTCTTAAGTGCTGTCCCGAACAGGGATGTGTTCCTGAATCACAATCAAAGCCAAGACCCAATAAAGCTGCTAATTACACTGCCAACATTCTATTCCAAAGGATTTTAGTTTTGAAGAGGGGAAGAAAAATCACCCTTTCCTACTAGCAATAATGTATCATGTTCAGCTTACAAGTGAATTTATATTTTTAACACATTTCACAATAGTTGATCATGCTGCTTTATATATGAGCCCTAACCATCCTTTTCAAAATTCTAAGCTTTATTTTCCACATTACCCAATGCCAGATTAGATTTTGGATTGCAGCCTTTTTCTAGCAAGTGAGTTCCTACTGTGGGTACTAGTTATGACAATTTGTGTTTGTTTGTTTGTTTTAAAAAGAGGAAGGTTAAATATACAATGAATTACTAGTCCCTGTACAATTTAAATCCGTGATCCTGTAAACACTTCGGGGCAGAGTTCAGAGCCAGATTTTCAAGGGGCCAGATCCTCAAAAACGCTCAGCACCCAAAATTCTGAGCCCTTTTGAAAGTCTGGCCGATGATGAAATTCAAGTATCGCAGTTGCCACTTTACAGTGAAACTACTCAGATGCATAAAGTTAAACATGTTCATTAGTTTTTGCAAGGATCTCAATTACTTAAATGGAATGGAGGCGTTCTGAAAAGCACTTCAGTGTTCTAGACCTCAGGGTTCCAATTAAGTAAAATTCTCTTGCTGAAACACAGAAATCGTAATTGCTAACATTTTTTGACAAGCCTGGTTTGCTTTCTCCTTGTGATAGGACCACTCCTTGTAAGGTGAATGAGATTTGGCTCAGTTGTTCATTACATACTTTACTGGCCTAACTGAGTAGGAATAATGTCTCTATTGAAAATGCACAGTGGTGTATTTTAATGTTTTAATTTTTAATCAACAATCAATTCAGTACGGTATTAAAAGGTACATAAAGCAAACCTGTGTTTGAATTGAATCATAGGAATTAGCGATGGAAAAGTTCTATTAGTTCATTTAGTCCTCCCGCCTACTACTGGATAATTTATTTGGATCTCACTAAGAGGCGTTTCCCCCAATATTCAGGTTAAATTTAGACCATAGGCAGGGACCTTGCCTTCTTTTTGGTTTGTATAGTCTTATCTTCCTTAATTTACCTCTATTTTGTTACTTCTTGTACCACCTTAAATAATTTTTTTCACTCCTCTTTGCATCTTTCCGATACAAGTATGTCTCTCCTTAACTATGTTATACATATTTAACTCTTGTATCCCTGAAAATATTGAGTTGCAATGACGTGTGGAGATAATGTTTGTATGGCCTTCAGTTAGAAGCAACAGTAGACTGAATGGGCCAAAAGTATGTCTTTTAAAGATGCCCTTATTAAACAGTGCATGTTGCTGACAAAAATCTCAGTGCTGAATATCAAATGCAAATTGTTTTGGAGAAAGAAAAGAAAATAAGTTGGGTAATGGGGGGTCAGGAGTCACTGGTTTTTAGCTTCCCCATCCCCCACCAAAAATCTATTGTATGTTCTTTTTAAAAGATTACAGCTGGCTGCCTTCTTAATTCAACATTATTTTGGTAAGTTTTTGCCTGCTTTATTAATTTATTTAATGCAAATTACATGTAGCTAAATAACGGTCAACTGTAAAACATGAGGATGTAATTCCATGCAGCGATGCTGATGATGTAATCATGAGAGAGAGTACTGTGGCTTGTGTAGTTTTTCCAAGTGACATCATAGGCCTTTAATTCACAGTGGGTTTGCCATCTTCTTTTCCTTCTTTAAAATGGATCCTTCAGTAATGTGCAGCTGAGGAAATGTTAGCCCATTGCTATTCTGAAGATGCTTTGGCAGCCTACTTCCCATTTCTGTTGGGGCATCATGGGAAAATGTCCAGTAAAAGTGGGTCCAGTTTTGGGCAAAAAGGGCTTTGCACCAATAAAATGGATGAGGTAATATCTTTTATTGGACCAACTTCTGTTGGTGAGAGAGACAAGCTTTTTGAGCTTACCCTGAGCTCTTCTTCGAGTCTGGGAAACTAACTCAGAATGTCACAGCTAAATATAAGATGGAACAGATTGTTTAGCGTTCCAAGTCAAGAGGCCCATTAATATCCCTCCAGTCATAGGGAGGAAAAGAAGGGGAGGGGAGCAGCTAGGGGGCAAGTATTGTAAGTGGGTTACAGATTGTTGTAATAAGCCATAAATCTAGTGTGTCTGTTCAGTCCATGATTTTTAGTGTCCAGCAAAGTTATGAATTTAAGCTTCCAGACTCAACTTTTGAAAGTGTTGTATAGGTTTCCTATGAGGACTCATAGGTCAGATATAGGGTGATCGCTTTGTGAAAAGTGTTCACCCATAGGTGATGTGGTGTTTTGTCTTTTATCGTTTTCCTATGTGAGCTCATTTGAGAGCATAGTGATTGTCAGTCACTAAGATACCACAGACTATGCTGCGAGGAGAAAGTCCAGGATATACACCTTGACACACTCAAAACTGCCTTCACCAAACAAGGACACTCCACCGCAAAAATAGATCACATCATGGAATGGCCCACCCAAATACCTCAAGAGAACCTGCTTCAATACAGAAATAAACCCCCCTTTAACTGCACACCCCTAGTTGTCACCTGCCACTACAGGGAACCCAGAGTATCAAACAACTACAAGCCATACACGATGAGAACTCCATCCTGAAATAAATCTTTCCTGAACCCCCTCTTCTGGACTGCAAACAGCCCCCCAAGCTCATCATCAGAAGCAAGCTCCCCACAGACCAGGACAGGCCAAATCAAAGCTGTACCAGACCCTGCCAGAACAACATGCAAAAACTGCAGACATATTTCCACTGCTACAATGATCAACCCCCCCTCCCCCACACACACACACACACCACAACACATCTTTCAAGATCCAGGGGTCCTACACATGCCTATCACAACATGTATTGTATGCATCCAGTGCACTAAATGCCCTAATATCAACTATGTGGGGTGAAACCAGACAATCACTACACTCTCAAATGAATTCATACAGGGTGAATGCATCCTAATTAATGTAAATGTCTACAACCAGGGAGAGGAAATAAACAGTACAGAGGCACAATGGGTCAGTCGGACCCATTGCATTAGAGAGAGAGTAAATTCCTTTAGCCTTAATTGGTGTTATCAATCCTGAGTTTTTATATCTCTGACACCTAAAATCTTTGTATGAGTTGTAAATTTACTTAAGCACCTCCATGGGGAACAGAACATTGATAATAGAGGGCTCTTCAATCTACTGACCAAAGATAAAACAAGATCCAGTGGCTGAAAGTTGAAGCTAGATAAATTCAGCTTAGAAATAAGGTGCACATTTTCAAAAGTGAGGGTAATTAATCATTGGAAGAATTTTATGAAAGGCTGGGGTAAATTTTTTCCCATTTCTGAACATTTTAAAAACAAGATTGGGTGTTTTCTAAAAAGATATGCTCCAGCTCAAACAGGAGTTAATTCAGGGAAGTCCCATGACCTGTGTTATGCAGGAAAGTCAGACTGGTCCCTTCTGGCCTGATAATCTATGGATTTATTTAATGGAGTGGAGTACCATTTACTTTAGAAAAGGGGTCGGGTGGGTTGGTTGGTTTGTATGGGAGGAGAGGTGTCCACAAGAAAAATCGCTACTTAAAAAGAAGTCCACACTAGGGCAAAGTTTGAAAGCCACTGATGTACTTACACATTTTTCATCTGAATAGAAATTGAGTGTTTGGACTGTGTGACTTGAAAGACTGAGATTCAGCTTAGGGCAATACCTCCTAATGTTTTTTCATCTAACTGTATTTATTTCCTCAATAAGATTTCACCATAAATGATATTATTCAGAGAAGAAAACAATTTGTGTGAGAATGGAAAAGCAGCTGGGAATTGCTGATGTGAGTTTATCTGAAGTTTGACAAGAAATGCTCCATTAGGCTCTCTGCTGTGGCTATGGTCTTGTTTACAACTAAGCAATTTGGCTTCCAGGGGGAATTCTCGTTGCTTGTACATAAATTATGGGTCAAATCCTCAACTGATATACACTGAGGTAGCGCCATTGAACTCAGTAGAGCTATACCAATTTACACCAGCTCAGGATCTGGGTCCGCTGTTATATCTTCCTATGCACTTACTAAATGGAGCTTCCAGTTCTTTAGAAATGCACCTCTTACGACAGTGTCTACCCAGAGTTCATTCAGCTTTAACAATTCTCCTGTTTGTGTTCCTTTGCAGCTTCCTTTGGTCTCTACTTCCCTAGGAAAGATTATTCGGAGACTGTCTACATTGATCAGCCAGCGGGTACGCCGCTACTGCACATCCGTGCCTTGAGGGATTCACATGGGGAGGTGGCCCACTTTCAGCTCTGCCAGCAGCTCTTTATCTATCGCGTTGGACCCTATGAAAATCATTGGTTTCAAATAAAAGAAAAAACCGGGCTTCTCTACCTCAATAAGAGTCTGGATAGAGGAGACTTCGATATCCTGTGTAAGTCTGAGAGGAGTAGCTACAGTTGCGATAATGTCCAGAGTTGAAGCTAAGCACTTACATCTAATGGGATTTATCCAGCAGCATATGAATAGCAAACCAATACTTAGGGATCAGACTGGAAGAACTGTTTACTTACATTAAATGAATTTTGGGATCGAAAAGAACCCTCAGATAGACACAATAGTATTCAAGCCATGTGGCAAAATGAACACTAAGGCCAAGAAGAAATTGGATTAGTTGTCAAATGGTGGAGTTTCATCGGGGAAGTTTCACCAGTTTAACTAAATCAACATAATGAACCTAGACTGGACCCCAAAAGAAGACACACTTAAACCATTTTTAATCCTTGCAAGTTTATCCTTATTTAGTAATTTACCAACATGTTATACCCATTTATGTGTTGGTTAAAATTTTATTTCTCCATCAGTTCAGATAGACTGACTTTAGTTAAATTGGTGCAACTTTTCTAATATAAGCAAAACCTTTAATTACAAAGACCCAGATATCTGGAGCACTTTTTGTATGGGGTAGTAAATGATCCTCTGATGAAGGGGTTAAGTGATGCTTATTTATATTATTTGGGATTTAAGTGAGGTTTTTTTTGTAAGAACCATGTACCATTGAACCATAGAAACAAATTTTTTCCATTCTCCTCCTGCTTTTAATAGACAGAACCTATATCTTGGTGGTTTTGATCCCTGAGGAAATTAGGTAGCATTAGATGAGGGAGGAGAAAGTGGTGTAAGAAATTAATGTCATAGCACTGCTGAAAAGGCCTTTACTTCTGGATCAGTTTCAAAGATTGGTAGGGTTCCACTGTGGGGTAGTCTGAAGAAATAGGAGAACTTGTAAGAGCCGTATTGTCCACATTAGCCTGTAATTTTGGGTGGCTTGGTCCAACTTCAAACATGTAGAGCCTTATTTTAGAGGTGATAAACATCAGGTATTGTCACTGAACTACTTGGTTCACTGTAGAATAATGGCTGATGGAAGGAAATTATTAAGAGGAATGTTTGCTTGTTTCTTTGTCAACTGTTTCTTTGTTTCTGTTCTTGCAGTTGGAAAGAATTGGATGTCATTACCAAAGGTGACATTTCATGTCTACCTTTCACCCCAGCCCTTCCAAGGGAAGGAATGTGAGACCCCCACTTCTGCCCTGGTGCATCTCTCCATCATCAACGCCACTGTACCAACTTGCAATGCTCTGATGTCAAGGGAGCTTTGTTTCTCAGAAATGGATCTCTCCTTTCACATCAAAGAGAATAAACCACCTGGCACATTTCATCAACTTCAGTTACCCCCAATACATCACCTGTGCCAGAATGTCAGCATTTCCTACAAATTACTAGCAGGTAAAACTGGAGGTAAACCATTCAGTCGCCAGTCATATTAATGAGATTTTTAATAGAGCAGAACTCTCCTCTGGTGGTTATTCTACTCTGCTTCCACACAAGCCTTTCTGGGTTTCAGAGTGGTAGCCGTGTTAGTCTGTATCAGCAAAAAGAATGAGGAATACTTGTGGCACCTTAGAGACTAACAAATTTATTTGAGCATAAGCTTTCATGGGCTAAAACCCACTTCATCAGATGCATGCAGTGGAAGATACAGTAGGAAAATATATATACACAGAGAACATGAAAAAATGGTGTTGCCATACCAACTGTAACGAGCGTAATTAATTAAGGTGAGCTATTATCAGCAGAAGAAAAAAAACTTTTGTAGTGATAATCAGGATGGCCCATTTCCAACCATTGACAAGGTGTGAGTAACAGTAGGGGGAAAAAATAGCATGGGAAAACAGTTTTACTTTGTGTAATGACCCATCCACTCCAAGTCTTTATTCAAGCCTAATTTAATGATGTCTAGTTTGCAAATTAATTCAAATTCTGCAATTTCTCGTTGAAGTCTGTTTTTGAAGTTTTTTTGTTGGAGTATTGCGACTTTGAGATCTGTAATTGAGTGACCAGCGAGGTTGAAGTGTTCTCCGACTGGTTATAATTCTTGACGTCTGATTTTGTGTCCATCTATTCTTTTGCAAAGAGACTGTCCGGTTTGGCCAATGTACATGGCAGAGGGGCATTACAGTTGGTATGGCAACACCTATTTTTTCATGTGTTGTGTGTATGTGTGTGTGTGTATGTGTGTGTGTGTGTGTGTGTATATTTTCCTACTGTATCTTCCCCTGCATGCATAGGATGAAGTGGGTTTTAGCCCACGAAAGCTTATGCTCAAATAAATTTGTTAGTCTCTAAGGTGCCACAACTACTCCTCGTTCTTGTTACAAGTCCTTTAGACTTCCTCGTGTACCCCTGATATAGCTCCTCCACCTTCCTTCATATCTCTTCTTAGACTGATTTTCATAATACAGAGTAAAATTCTTCCTTCTGTTACATTGATGCAACCCAAATGGATTCATTGGGATATCACCAGTATGTCAAAGAGGAGAACAATCAAACACCACTAATAGGAAAGGATTATCCCAGTTTATGCTCTGTATGTGTTGTTTCAGTTGAAGGGCTGCCTTTTCGCTACAATGAGAACACCACAGGCGTAAGTGTTGTGCAGCATTTGGATCGGGAAGAAAGAGAGAGGTATGAGCTGATCGCCAAGTGTACAGTGAGAGAGGGCTCCAAGGAGATGCAGGTCGAGGTGCCTTTCCTGGTCAATGTGTTAGATGAAGATGACTCTGCCCCCTTCCTTCCCAATGGCACTAGCACGACGGATGCTGTTGTGGAGTTCAACAGAAAAGAGGTAGAGTTCTCTTCTGCTTGGACTCTTGAGATATTCAGTGGAAACACTGTGGGTTAGGCATGCCTAACCCACATGGAAACGTCAGGCCTTGTATGTTAGCTCTCAGCATCATATGCACTAATTTACTATACAGTCCAGAGAGCTCTGACTGAATAATAAGAATAATAATATGAAGAATGTGATGACCACCTCCCTTGAGTGGCTAATTATCTGAGTGGTCATTTGACAGATTTCACTGGGTGTGTGTATCCGTCTATATATTACATACAAAAAGCTATGTTAAAATATAATTTAGGTGGGAAAGTCAATCACTGAGAAGTTAAGAAATGCAAGATTTATATCTGTATATGCAACCATGATTCTTCCCATGATTCTTCTTTGTGCAAGTACACTGACTGAGGCCTGGGTTCTGTGGAAAACAATAGCATGTGTAATTAAAGATTGTACCATAATGCATGCACACAAGGAGGCACCATGTCAAAGACCTGCTACAAACAAAGGAGAGGTGAGAGCTTCTCAAATAAAAGGTTTCAGGAATCTTTTCTTATGGAAGGTCTTAGATCATCTAAATATGGGGGTTGCTACCAGCTCCTCATATAATGTATATTTGTGAATATCAATTGATATTTCTTTTGTTTTTTTTAATTCATAATGGAATTTAAACAGGCACCTGTCTGCTGCCTTGTGCATCTTTGGTGTTATTTAAAGAAACAAATACAAACAGAACAAAACCAGCAGCAACTTCCTGGAAAACTCCACCTCAAACGCTAACCAACTTTCCCCACCAACACTCCCATCCTACATAAACAGTTGTCCCTATTAGACCTCACCCTTACTCAGATATCTAGGCAAAATGATGGTTCTTGCAGTGTTCACTGAAGGTCAACAATGCCAGAGTATTTAGGGCCAAGGGTAGGATCTTGTTCTGTAGTTGAAGGTTGCTCATTGACAACCCTTTAATCACTGTAGCAGGAGGGGTGGCATGGAGTACAGAGAGGGTGCAGGTGATAGAGTCCAGCTTGAAAGTAGGCACAGCCCATTTCTCGTATGGCTTCATAGGTGAAAACCAAGATACGTATGTATAAAACTAGTAAAATAGCATTCAGCTGGGGCTTTCTCTGGGAGAAGAAACACTCACAAAAGCTTTAATAGATGGTTGTTATGCTTGAGCCATCCCGATGTGCATTCAGCATAAGCTATGTATAAAATTCCAGCAAGTACTCAGTCACTTCCCTCCAGGGATTTCTGTCTAATAATATTTCTTTAATAGCTATATTTGTTTCCCTTGGAAGTAAACTGGATTTTGCATATCTGTTCTGGAAAGAGAGCATACAATTTTGGATGTTTGCTGCCACCTACAGGCTTGACATATCAGTGCCACACACCGATGGGCATAACTAGTAGAGCTGCTTGAAAAATGGACTTCCCATCCCATGGAAAATTCTGAGACTCTCAAATTTTGTTTCTTCTCAAATCAGGATGAAAAGTAGAAATCTCAGTATTTTTCATGCAATGAAATCAGAAAACGTTTGTTTTGACTTTAATATGACGTATAATATAGTTGAAACAAACCTTGACAAAATCGATGTATTCTCATGAAACATTTTGATTTAATTAATTCAGCATTTTCCAGCAGAAAAATCTTGTGTTGGAAAACTTCCAAAATACCTCTGATAATTAGTATATTCAAACTTAAAGGGGAAAGGATTTGTATGGGAATCTCAATGGCCAATGGAATAATAACTGTACAAAATGAGTTTGAGGCCTACTGCAAGGTAATCAGAAATCCAATGTAGAGTCAACAAAGAGCAATCTAGTAGAATGAGCACAAGACTGGAGCCTAGAACATCTGATTTCTGATCATGCTTCTGTTACTAACTCTCTGTGGAGCCTTAGTTATGTCATGCAGCCTCTATTTCTTCTTCCCTGACTTTTAAATGGGGATTTGTTGCTCACCTGCAACAAGAACAGGGCCGGCTCCAGGCACCAGCCTGGCAAGCAGCTGCTTGAGGCGGCTGCTCGGGAGAGGGGCGGTACATCCAGCTATTCGGCGGCAATTCGGCGGACGGTCCCTCACTTCCGCTAGGAGCGAAGGACCTCCCACCGAATTGCCGCCGCAGATCGCAATTGTGTTGGCGTTTTTTTTTTTTTTTTTTGGTTGCTTGGGGTGGCCAAAACCCTGGAGCTGGCCTTGAACAAGAATATTGAGGATTATTTTTTATTTTGATGATTGAAAGCAAGGTATGATCCTGTTACTTCTGCCTTCAAACATCCAGTATTACATTTGAGTACAGCCACTTAATTAGTTTCTCCCAGGGGCTAAGGGAGAAAAATCTCTCTGCTATCCCGGCCATTCTCTGTAAATTGGGGATTAACCATTTAAAAAAATCCCACAACACATAACAGAGAGTGAACTAATCCCAGGGAGTGGAGACTGTGCACTATACGGAACACATTCTCTTGTGTGTTCCAGACCTTCTTGCCATTCACACAGCTGAGAATTCAAGTCATCCTAAACTCTGAGGTTGGGGCTGGTGCAGAGCCAACCAGAGAATAGCTGGTTCCCTGAGGACCCCCTCTGCTCCTCCTCACCTTGCTGACCTGAGCAGATATTGGCAGTCCCATATTTTTTACTTGGCTTGTCATTCTCATGTTTATTCAGTGATATACCCTAGTTGCAAAATTCCCCCAAAGATCATCCTAGCTACAAAGTCTCTGGGGTCATTAAGACCACTAGTTGGGGATTGCTTGAATCAGATATGCAGTCCTTACATAGGTCTCAAAACTGACTGTTGCTACAGTAATTTTGCAACTCACTGACTTATGAAATGCTGTTACAGTGCTCATCTATCTCCAAATAGGTGGTAAGCAGTAGTACCATCAATCTTTGCCTTTTCTGTTAAAGACCTACAAAGACTTTGAATGGAAGTGGATTTGTACAGAATGTCAGGGAGCTTTATATGGACAGGACTTTGGTCTCCAGTTTGTATCACTTATTCAGACAGTAAACCAGAAAACAAATCTGGAAAAAAAAATCGTGTGGCAATCATTGATTTTTCTCCATATTGTCTATGATTTTCTTCTAGGGAACTGTCCTAGCCACACTGACTGTGTGTGATGCAGACACCACACCTATTTTCCCCATTGAAAGCAGCAGAAAGAAGTACACAGGCACCATCAGTACAACTGATCCATGGATTAGCGAAACATTTCGGGTGGATCACGTCTTCCACGAGATCTATTTCAGCCCCAATGGCAGCCAAGTGAGGGGAACGCTGCATGAATACAGTAAGGTCTCTTCCTTCTAACAAAGAGTGAAATTGCTTTGCTTATAATTGACCAATATTGTATTTGACTTTTCTATGTATCTGAAAAATACCAGGCAGATGGAAAATGAGACAGAAAATCCCAGTGTCAGAACAGATATTTGGGATTGAAAGAGGGGACTGTGGTACTACATTCTTTCCTCCTATATAGAACACAGTGAATGTATAGGAATATGACAGTTGCATTATGTGTTGACTAGCCAAGAGAGGTTCTGATTGTATTGCATTTAAGAAAGTAATTCTAAACTCATGACTACAGCTGGATGGCAAACAGTTTTCCCCTACCACACAAATTTGAGATTTTTAAGATTTTCCAGTTTCATATTGGGGAGAAACTGAGACATTTTGAAAAAAATTCATGAAAAAACAGAGAGAGGCCCATCCACTCGCTCCAAAATAGCGAATAGCCAGATGGGGAGGGCACTCATTTGGGTCCCCCAGTATACATCTACCCAGCCAAAAAAAAAGCCAAAACCCACAACAGAGTGGGTCAGCTGACTCAAGCTCACATTGCTGGGCTGAAAATAGCAGTGTAGATGTTCGGGCAACCCAGCAAAGTTGGAGGGTCTGAGAGCCCAGGCTCCAGCCTCAGCCTGAAAGTCTACACTGTTATTTTTAGCTCTTCAGCTCAAACCCATTGACCTGGGCTCTGAGAGTCACTGCTGCTGGTCTTTTTCTTTTTTTTTTTTTTTTTTGCGCTGCATAGACATATCGCCACATTCAAGGTGACAGCCCTAACCACCAGGCAGCGGCGGCTCCAGGCAGGTACGCCAAATCCACGGAACTGGGGACCTCCCGCAGTCATGCCACCGAAGGCAGCCTGCCTGCCATGCTTGGGGTGGCAAAAAAGCTAGAGCCGCCCCTGCCACCAGGCTATTCTGCAATGCGCATCTCTCGTATTGACCAGAAGATATGTGAAACGTTCCTGTGAAAAATTGTGATTTTGATGAATCCACATTTTCCTACGAAGCACCATTTAGTCAAAACATTCCCAACCAGCTCTAGTTGTGACATATCTTTAGGCACTTTTTGTTGTATGGAATGGGAGAATATCTATATTTTTAGTTTTAATTCAACCTCTCCCTTTACCTAGTAGCATGCCATGAGCCGTGCTTGAAGAATAGATTTGATATTTATAGTTTAGGATTTTGTGCTGCCTAAAAATGCATAGACATATGTAAAAAGCCAATCTTCTCTTTTGCAGAACTGATGCTGAACAAAAATATTTCAGTCACAGAGAACCGTTCCTTCCAGTTGGATGTTTTGGTGAATGACACAGAGTTTCATGGCCCTGAAAGATCTGTGATGCTCCATTTCAATGTCTCCATTCTTCCCGTCAGCATTCAGTTCCCTAATGTGACTTACCAGTTCACGGTGAACAGAAATGCTGAACGTTTTGCACATGTAAGGACTGTCTTAATTGCTTTTGATTTTGGCATTGTTGAAGATAAACCTTGTAAAAGTGAGACAGCTTGGAGGGAAATGTGTACATAAAATAAATAACGTCCAGGATTTCAGAAATGTCCACAAATACCAGATGACATTGCAAATCTGTTCCGACCCTGAGGCAATGTTACCTAGAAGTTAGAACCCTGGACTGGGATTCAGGAAACCTAGGTTGTGTGACAAAGTTCGTCCTCTATCTTGGTGGGTCCTGCGCTTATTGGCGGATTTTCTTGCCGCAGAGATTCACCATGTGGGTTGGGGAACAGCCCAGAGACCTTCCCCTCTGGAAGAACCCACAGTCCAGGTCAATTGGGAGGGATAAGAACCATCTGGTCACCCTTGTGTTCTTCTCCTTGTGCCGCTGCATCCATTGAAGAGGGGCATGGTCGGTCACGAGGACAAAACTGTGCCCGAGCAGGTAGTAGCGCAATGTTTCCATGGCCCATTTTACAGCAAGGCATTCTCTCTCCACCACTGCATATTTTTGTTCCCTTGGAAGGAGTTTCCGACTGAGGTATAGAATTGGGTGTTCCTCCTCCCCGACCATCTGTGATAGAATGGCCCCCAACCCTACTTCCGATGCATCCGTCTGCAGGATAAACTTCTTGGTGAAATCAGGGCTATCAGTACGGGGTTATTGCAGAGGGCAGTCGTAGGTCTGTGAATGCTTCCTCTGCTGCGTCAGACCATCTCACCAGATCAGGTCCATGGGCTTTCACTAGGTCTGTCAGGGGGCTTGCCCTTGTGGCAAAGTGGGAGATAAATCGTCGGTAATACCCCACCACACCTAGGAACGCCCGGAATTGTTTCTTGCGACTTGGTCAGGGCCAATTTTGGATGTCCTTTAACTTGTTCACTTGGGGTTTTACCAAACCTTTTCCCACAATGTAGCCAAGATACTTGGCCTCTGTAAACCCTACAGCACACTTGGCAGGGTTTGCTGTAAGGCCAGCTCGCCTGAAGGTATCGAGGACTGCCTCCACCTTCTCCAGGTGGGTTTCCCAGTCTGGGGTTTGAATGACCACATCGTCCAAGTAGGCAGCAGCATAACTGTTATGCGGGCGTAATAGCTTGTCCATGAGGCGCTGGAAGGTAGCTGGGGCCCCATGTAGTCCAAAAGGGAGGACAGTATATTGAAAGAGACCCTCTGGTGTAGAGAACGCAGTCTTTTCCTTTGCATCTTCTGCAAGGGGAATCTGCCAGTACCCCTTTGTCAAGTCTAGGGTAGTCAAGTACCGGGCATTACCCAGATGGTCCACTAGCTCATCTATGCGAGGTATGGGGTACGTGTCGAACTGGGATACTTCATTTAGTTGCCGGAAGTCGTTGCAAAATCTTGTGGTGCCATCAGGTTTGGGCACCAGCACGATTGGGCTGGACCACTGACTGTGGGATTCTTCGATGATCCCCAACTCCAGCATTTTTTTTACTTCTGCTTTTATTTCCTCCCTTTTTGCCACTGGCACCCAATAGGGCCTCATTGTTACTCTGGCCCCAGGGTTCATGACGATGTGGTGATATGTCTCAGTTGTTCGACCCGGTTTTGTCGAGAACACATCTTGGTTCCGGAAGATCATCTCAGACACCTCATTCTTCTGGTCTGGTGTTAAATCGGGAGACACTCTCACCTGTTTGGAAGGCTTGTTTTCCTGGGTTAGGTCTTTTTGGACTGTTGTGCATGCTTCTTGTGCATGCCAGGGTTTCAGAAGGTTAACGTGATAAATCTCTTCTTGTTTTCTGCGTCCTGGCTGCCGCATCTTGTAGGTTACTTCCCCCACGGGTTCAACCACCTCATAGGGCCCCTGCCATTGGGCCAGAAGCTTGCTTTCTGCCGTGGGTGCCAACACCATAACCCGATCCCCTGGTTGGAACTGTCGCACTTTTGCCTGGCGATTATAATGGGTTCGCTGGGCCTCCTGTGCCTTCTCCAAATGTTCCCGTACAATAGGGGTAACTCGGGCTATCCGGTCTCGCATGCTCTATTATATTTCTCCCCTCATTGGGTTCCTCTTCCCAGATCTCTTTGGCGATATCTAGTATGCCACGGGGGTGACGCCCGTATAATAACTCGAAGGGGGAAAACCCAGTTGAGGCCTGAGGTACCTCCCGGATAGCGAACATAAGGTAGGGTAGTAGGGTGTCCCAATCCTTCCCGTCCCGACTTACCACCTTCCTTATCATAGCCTTGAGGGTTCAGTTAAACCTTTCTACCAACCCATCAGTCTGCGGATGGTAGACCGAAGTTCTCAGGGTATGTATATGGAGCAGCGTACAGAGGTCCTTCATTAGCTTCGACATAAATGGGGTTCCTTGGTCAGTTAATATCTCCTTCGGTAGCCCCATTTGGGCAAAGATCCCCACCAGCTCTTTGGCTATAGTTTTAGAGGCCGTGTTCCGCAGGGGGACGGCTTCTGGGTAGCGAGTAGCATAGTCCAAAACAACAAGTATATATTGGTGGCCCCGAGCCGTCTTCTCCAGGGGTCCCACTAGGTCCATGGCTATTCGCTCGAAGGGGACCTCTATGATGGGAAGGGGTACTAAAGGTGCCCTCAATGGGGACGGGGACTGTGCAGCTGACGCTCCGGGCAGGAGGCACAGTACCTCCACACTTCTTCATGTACTCCGGGCCAGAAGAACCGTCATAGGACTCGTGCCAGGGTCTTCTCTACCCCCAAATGCCCCCCAAAAAGCTGACTACGAGCCAGACTTAATACAGTGTTCTGGTGTTTTTGAGGTACTAGGATCTGCCCCTGTACTGGTGCAACCCGGTATAAGAGATCCTTCTTCATTATGAAGTAGGGTCCTGGTCCCTGGGTTTTCTCTTCCACGGGGACCCCATCTATTTCAGTCACCTCCTTCCTAATGTTGTCATACCTTGGGTCTTCTGCCTGGTCCCGTCCAAAATTTCCTCTCCCGGGACTAATCTGCCCAAGATCTAGGGGCCCAGTCTCTGTTGCCTCTACTGGTTCAGAAGCATTAGGGTGGGGGTCAGACTCAGGGGCTTCTCCCTCTTGCATGGCCTCCTTTTCAGCTGCGCGGGTCCACCTACCTACAAGAGCGACCCTCTAGCTTTGGGTCAGTATTCGGGTTCCCAAGGCCTTAGCTGCCCTTCTTTCTCTTTTTGTCTTTCTACCCTGTCTGGGATTGGAGAACAAATCTGGGGATATTTCAGAGAAGTTTGGGGGTTGACAGTCTGCTGTGGATGCCTCACCAATTTTAGGGTCCCCATCTTTCTCCAATCCCTCTACTGGGAGTAAGTTTCCAAACCCTGGGAAGTCCCTCCCTATGAACACAGTGTATGGGAGTTTAGGGACTACACCTGCTGCTACCTCAGTAGTGTTCCCTTGGATCTCGATTTTTACTGGGATGGTGGGGTAGTAACTAACTGTCCCATGGACACATGTTATCCCCGTACGTTTAGCCTGTAGCAGCTGACTATGCTTCACGAGCTTCCCTGAGATAAGCGTGATAGCACTCCCCGAATCAATCAGTGCCGTGGTCCCTACCCCATTTAGTTTCACTGGTCTGGTATACATATGTGGGGTTAGTGAGACCCCCACAAGGTGGATTAGGGAGCATGGATCTGCCCAGTTCCCCAGGTTACACTGCATAGGCTCCTCAGCATTGGGACACTGTGCAGCTATGTGTCCCCACTCCCCGCAGGCATAACATCTGTATGGAGCCCTAGGTGTTCCCCGGTCTCTTGGTTTGGGCAGTCTAACATCACGATCCTCTTCTCCCTCAGTGCTCCAACTCTTTGTGGCCTCTGATGGGCCTTCAGCCTCTCTTTTTTTCCACCTGGGCCCTCCTGGTGGTCCAGTCACCCGAACTTTAGGGCTTGGTGCTGCTAGTTTAACCCGGGGTGCCTCTTCCTTAACTGGTCGGGCCAGCTCCCTCGCTGTCCTTCGCCTCTCTACCAGGATGACTACCTCGTCATAGGTGGAGGGTTCGTTCTGGCTTACCCAGGCACGAAGGTCTGGTGGTAGTCCCCTCATGTATCGGTCGATGACCAGAACCACTAGTATCTCTTCCGGACTCCGGGACTCTGTTTGCAACCACTTTCGTGCGAGATGGATGAGGTCATACAATTGGGACCGCGGGGTTTTGTCTTCCTGGTACCTCCAACCGTGATACTGCTGGGCCCGCACTGCTGTCATTACCCCAGATCTGGCCAGGATCTCTGCTTTCAGCTGGGGGTAGTCTGCCGCAGCCTCTTCAGGCAGATCATGGTAGGCCTTCTGGGCCTCCCCACACAGGAATGGGGCAAGGATGCCAGACCACTGATCTCGAGGCCAGGCCTCCCGTAGGGCTGTCCTCTCAAAGGCCAGAAGGTATGCCTCTACATCATCCTCCCGTGTCATTTTCTGCAGCCAATGGCTGGCCCGTATGAGCCGCGTCCCATCATGGCCACGATTCAGCTCTGTAAGGGACTTTACCTGGTTTACCAGTTCCCGCAACATAGCTCGGTCTTGAGCAGCCTAGTCCATCAGCAGGCGATTAGTCTCTTGCTGCAGCTGCACTGCCTCCTGTTGGGCGGCTGCCTGGACACGGGTAGCCTCCTGCTGGGCCGCCGTAGCTTTTATCAGTGCCCGCACTACATCATCCATTGTGGTGGGAAAAAAAATAAACCCTCTCCCTTTTTTTTGTTTGTTTGTTGTTGGTTTTTTTTTTTAAATCACCCTCCTTCTTCCGCTGCGCTGTGCACCCCAAGATCCCACTACTGACACCAGTGTGACAAAATTCCTTCTCTATCTTGGTGGGTCTTGTGCTTATTGGCGGATTTTCTTGCCGCAGAGATTCACCATGTGGGTTGGGGAACAGCCCAGAGACCTTCCCCTCTGGAAGAACCCACAGTCCAGGTCAATTGGGAGGTTTGGGGGGAACCTAGGCCCGCCCTCTACTCTGGGTTCCAACCCTGGGCCCTGTGGACTGCAGCTGTCTATAGTGCCTCCTGTAAC